TGTTTGTTTCTGTGTTTGTATTGTTGTTTTGTTGGATTTTTTGTTTGTTTGTTTATAAAACTAGAAGAAGTTGAAACAAAGCCTCTGTATTCTTGTAAAGCTTTTTTTCTCCTTTTTCCTGCTTCTTAGGTGCTGCAAAACTGACTTTACGTCTGTTTGGTAAGTTCCTACTGCTCCAAACAGAAAGGGCAGCAGTTTGAAAGGTCTGGCGTTCATATAGCTGTGATTTTGGTGATGGGGACAACTGGTTTGTTCTGAAAGTGCACGTTTTCTTTGGGCCTTTCTTAGGAAAGGGACCTGGTCATCCTTATTTATATCCCCCATCTGCACGAAGCTATCATGTAACTGCATGAGGCTTTAGAACCCCAGTGAGTTTTACATGACAGACACAGGATGCCTGCTCTTCTGTATAGCCATCATCTTCTTTCAAATCTTTTCAACTTTGCATGGCAGGAGGAATCACCAGATTTGTAATGTTCAAACGTAGCAGTCTGGTAACACTGTTATGATTTCTTTTCCTCTGCTGAAACCCAGTGCTGTGCCTGTCCTGGCTGCTTCCTCCCACTCCCCTGATGCCGGCTGGGCTTCTTTGCGTCACACACTGTTCTCTGGGACCCTCCCTGAGTAATAAATAGGCTCAGGGTAACAGTGAGGCTTCTGTCCCCATGTAAGTGCAAGCCTATAAGCTTCCTTTAAACTTTAAACGTTTCATTGTTGGAAAGCTTTCAGATGTTCACAGGATAAGGGGTCTTTATATATAGCTGGCATTGCGTGGTAAAAGATTGCTTTATGTAAGCTAAGTTTAAGATGTGCAGTTCCTTTATAAACTCAGCATGCAGGAGATATTTTTTTCTTCTTGTGCTCAACGTTGCTTTCAGAGGGTTTTTAAATGGCTATTCATTTTTTTATATTTATAAGATAAAAAAAGTTTAAGGGAGAATATCAGGAAAATGCACCTCAGATAAAACCAAGCATGCATGATTCCGAGCATTTGTTCAGATGTGTCAGCAACCTCCTGCAGAGCTGAGTCCTCATCCTGCCCGATTAGGGGCACTCCAGGCTTTGCCACAATAGGGCCAGAGGAGCTCACTGACTGAAATGATTCATGACCCAAAACCTACTTCGTGCGGTGTGTAGCATAATAAACACAAACTACATTAGAACAAATGAAGAGTATTGCTTGGTGCAGTAACCAACATTTTCTTTACAAAGTGGATCCAGCTCTTTTATGGGTTACACACCCTGATCCAACCATGTCCAATTGTAAACTGCTCTCCAGTGTGAAATCTTATGTCATCTTACCAATTGTTACCAAGTAAAATAGCCCAGCAACTAGAGATGTGTGGTTCTACTTGAGGTTTGAAAAGGCAGGAACAAAGGCATGTTACTAGTAAAAAACAGTCAGATGCTTATTATCTAGATTTCATTTTGTCTCTGAGTATCCCCAACAGAATTGCATCTACTAGAATCCGTTTGAAAAACACTTAAGACTATTTATGATTTCAGCCAGTTGCTTCCTCCAGCTGGGTCAAGCTTGCGTGCAAGCTGTAACACCTCCAGTATGTACCAGACCAGAATCCTCCTGACTGTGCACTAAATCATGGCTTTATCTGTTTTATTTGACACTAAATTATTTTTGCTTTAATGGAAAGCAGGTTTTATTTTGGGCTCGTCTGAATTGTTCACCACAAACTTAATCCAAAGATCCTGGAAGTTGGTGGGTGTTAATAGAGTTTGGCACGTAAGCTTGGATTAAAAAAGTCATTACTGTGTCTACTGTCAGTGATTTCTCATTTGCCAGTAAGACTTAACTTTGATCCCAGTCTGAACTGACAAAAACAAATTTGGAAACGGATGAGGATAAACAGAAGTTGGCTCTAAAGCAGGCAAGGTGAGGAAACCAAGTCTGCTGGTGACGTGATTCTCCTTACCACAATGTATTTCACAAAAGACTTTTCTCTGTACAAAAAAGCAACTTTTACACAAAACTGAATAAAAGCAACACTAGTATGTGTGCAACACTGAGGGAGGTGGGGCATGGGTTGTTTTTTTATTTTCATTAAAAAAATTCCAATTTGTTGAAGCTGGTGCTGCTTACAGGAAATGGCTGTTCTTGGCAGACAGTAAGTGCGATCATCTCCCAAGACTGTTTTTGTGGTGGTTGTTTGTTGTTGGGTTTTTTTTTAGATGTTTCAAATAAAGTCTCTTCTTTGAGATTCAGAGCAATTTCTCACATCAATTGGTTTCCAAGTATTCTATGCCGTGCTGTTTAGGAGAAGATGCTTGGGCAGCTTTCATTTGGACAGCATCCTGCCTTGGCAGTGACGTAGGAGTCATAGCTTGGAGTGATCCTGTTGTAAGCATTTTGGGCTGGGATGGATAGCAAGCTGCAGCAACTTGCATATTGCTTAAATCTAATACTATTCCATTCACTGTGCTTTAAAACAGTCTCATTTCGGTTTTGCTTTTAGATGACAAGTGGAAGGGGAGTTCAGTTGTGAGTTTCATCAGAAAAGATTTTCATCCTTAACACTTTTCCTTCATCATTTCTTCTTCCTTCCCCACTCTTCCACTGTGTGTGGTAACAAACCTAAACTTTTACTATATTCCATTCAGTTGGTGCCAGCAGCTTTTTGAATATTAGGTTATACCTCTGTACCCCCTAGCCACCCCTTCATAGTGAAGCAAATCAATGCATTTTATGGTAAATGCTTTCCGTTATAAGAACTGTTTGCAAAAATGGCCTTTTCCAGAAGATGTGTACTGTTCAATGAACAGTCACATGGTTACTTCCAGGTTTTCTTTTTTCCCAAGCAGAGCGGAGAAAAGCTCTCTTCCATTCGTAATTCTGATCAGGCAAAGCTTTAGTTGCCTCTTTTATTTATTGTACTAATTAGGAAGAAAAGAAAAAGCAAAATTAGTGCATCTCAAAGCCTGTATTCATTTATTTGCACCTTACGATTATATATATTACATATTATATAATTATATATATTATTATATTGTATTATGCTGTATTGTCCAAAGCTAGTAAAGTCAGTCTCACTTTTCTGAGAAGTGATTGTCAAATTTTGGAGATAAGTGATATTATTCAAAGACCTCAAGAAAGAGAACTATTCCTTCTACATAGGTAGAAGGAAAATTTTCTCTGTGGGGAATTATTAAACCAGTCTCTTGGTGCAGAAGGAAATAATGAGCTAATCTGAAGCTGAGGTGCTATCGGTCTGTTTCGAACCCGGCTTGTCTCCTGTTTCCAACTTTTCTGCATGCAGATGCTGTCCAATTAGTTGGAAGGCAGAAGTAGTCTCTTGACTTGATTTTGCTTTCTAGGCCAAATGCCTGGAAGCTAGGGAGGGAAATGGATGGCACTGGAATAATAACCACCTTCCCCAAGTCTGAGTAAAGCAGTTAAGACCCATCTTTTTTTCAGTGTTTTCATGTATTCTGCCAAGCTGTACAATAGCTCTTGGGGGAGGAGGAGTTGTGTTTTTTCCTTTATTCCTTGGTTTATCCAAGCTATTTGGTTTACATTTCTTTTTTTCAATCACTAAACTAAGAAAGCAAGCAAGGAAGATGATGTTTTGTTTTGCACTTGTGTGATTAAAAATGTCTACTCCTACAGTCTTGCACAAAAGCCTCTTCTGAAGTTTCTACATTCTTTTATTCCTTTCTTTCCCCACCCTGAACTCTCCACCCAAAAAAAAAAAAAAAAATGACATTTCAGCCTTATGAAATTGGAGGTCTGCTTTCTAACCGAGATTTAGAACAGTGTAGCCCAGTTGCCATAATTTAAATAAGACTTCTTGGGTTGTTCCTGAAGCATGACTTTATTTTCCTAGCTGCTTTTCATGCAACAAGGACCAGTAAAAGCAGTGTAAACTGAAGAGCCTCGCCTCTTCATTTCCTGCACAATGCTTACAGCATCCTTCAGGAAAGGCACTTCTGCAAAGATGTGCTGCTGCTGCTGCAGCTGAGGCAGGTTTTCTCCATCAATAATGCAAGCCCCTAAGTCATCTGTGTATAGTTGTAAAGTTACTCATTCAGCGTTAATTTTACAGATGCCTCTCTCGTGGAAAATTCAGCTCTGTACTTGGGAGGGAATGGGAGTGTTTCTGAAAGCAGTTCAAGTTCAGTCTGACCTCACCAGTTGGGACGTACACTGAAATGTGTGACCTTCTCCATTTGCTGCATGGTTATCATTCCCAGAGCTGAATACCAGCAAAATCACAGCTCCTCCATCTTCTAGGGACTTGCAAAATAAATGTTTTAACATCATTTTCAGGCTGTGCTCCGTGAGCTGTTCTTTCAAAGATTTTGCCTCAAGGAAAAATAAGGAGTAGCTGTCATTTGAAATTTACTCAGCGTTGGCTAAATGATGGCATTTGTCACTTCTGCTCTCCTTGTAATGAATAACAAGGAGGACTGGCCCTCACATGTGTCAAACTGGATACTGCGTTTTGTTAGTTCTTCTCCCTCTTTGTTCTCTTAGAGAACAGGAGGCAATTAATACAGTCAAAAAATGTAATGTGGCACAACCCCCATCCCCCTTTTTTTTTTCCTTTGTGTAGTATTCCAACACAAAGACTGTCGAGAGCATTATGTGCATCATATTTTGAAAACATGTTGGTAAGGCAAACTCACTAGGAGACTGCAGGTTGGCCAATTCTTTGGGACCCGATCTAAAATAATTGGCACGTTTGCTTTACGCTGCAGCTTGTTTGATGTTGTTGACCTTGTATCCTTGGTGTCTGAAAAGCTGTCATGGCAGTGACATGTGTCTGAGCAGTCTGAAGGAATCCAGCAATTATTTTAATATTTTGCATAATACTGGTGGAATGTAATAATTCGTTGTGAGGGATCAAATCCAATTACCTCATTCCCTAAAACTGGAAAAACGGTGGAAGTTTGGTGACAAACGCTAGTGGAGTGAGAAAGAAGTGTAACAATTTGTGACATTGTAGTCACTAATTTTTTTCTTTCCCTTTCTCATTTTTTTGCAGGGCATGTTTTCGAGCCATTTTTGAGATGTGGTGAATGTAAACTTGCTCTCTTGGGAGCGAAATTCTGGTAAGTGCTGCAGTCTTGATGAGTTTTGGCTTTCAATGAAAGTTTCAGAAATATTATGTTAGCTTTTATTTTAGTTTAATTTTTTTTTACTTGATGGGAAATGCAGCTCACAAAGCTGCAGTTGATTACACGTATTTTTTTTCCTTTGGTATGGAGACGCACAGTATGAGAAGCACTGACAGAAAGCAGCATGCTGGGCCTCAAGGCAAGGAATGCAGTTTCATTTGCTCCTGTGGCATCTGCTTATTGTGTTTGTAGCTGTTACATTCAGCTGAGGAGTGGCTGAAAGCTAGTAGAAGAAACCCAAAGCCTAATTGTAAAACGGGGAACAAAAAGCATGCTAGAGGTAAGAAACATGAGCAGCAACAATGATGCAGAGGGAGCACTGGGGATGTCTAGTCAGTGTGAAATCTTTCCATCCAATCCCACAGCCTCCACATGGAGCTAGAAGGATTGCTCATTACTGTGACATAAGGAGGTAGTCAACACTCCTGTGTGATGCACCAGGTTTCCCATTCCTCCTTTCCATTTCTTGTGACAGGCTTTGCTGCTTCTGATTGTTCCATGCACACTTCTAGAGACAACAGCTTCCTACAGGTTGATGTGGGTTGCAGTGGGAGTGTGGCACGTTGTGTACAGCATAGCTGTGTTCCTGAGTTATGCCACTGTGAGAAGAAGGGAGGCATCAAAGAGTGGAAGATAATTAGTGACATGCCCCAACTGGAGGGGAGTAATCCTGAGAAAACTCTTTGTAGCTTTCTCTTTCTCTATCCAGTCAAACATAAAAAAATAATAATCCCAGCAACAAGCTAAAACAAAACAAAACAAAGCAGCAGATCCCCAGTGGTTTGTAGACTTACCTTGCTTTTCCCTCTCAGAGACTCAGTGCATGCAACTGTTGCTGGTACCTGTTGATCACTGGCAGCCTTGGAAAAAAATTGCTAGCAGAAGGTTGTGTCCCTTTTTTCCCTTGGCCAAGAAGAGTGTTGGACTAGAATTTTTTCTTTAGCCAATGTGTGCAGATTGCAGATGAAAACCAGCTTATTCTCCATTGGCAAAGGACTTCAGAGTAAGATAGCCTGCAGGGGTAGAAAACCCAAAATCAAAGACTGGCTCTATGAGAACACTTGTTCCTTTCTTCCATTTTAAAAAGAAATAACAGATGTTGTTACATCATGCAGAAGAATCTGGATTAACTAGCAGATGTTTAAATGTAGATCATTTAGCCTTCTGCAGAAAGTATAGTCTTCAAGTGAAGAAAAAATGAAATGGTTAAGATCAAAATTTAAAAAAAAATCTTCCAAATGCTTGAAAAGTCCTCTACAGCTATACCTGAGTAAACCATGCTTCCATGCTTTCCACTCCATTAAGTAATTTTCTCTCTACTTGTATGCCCAAAGATGAGCTATAGACCAGTTGCGTGAACTCACATCACATGAGATTTTGTGCTTTTTCTGTTGCTGCAAGAGAAGAGAAGATCTGTATCTAGTTTGCTTTTTGATGATAGTTACTATGGTACTGTAAGTTGTCTGATGTCCTTGCATATTGGGTGATCTTTGTGTGACATGTGACAAAGCTGTTGTGCTCATAGATCAATGAGGAGCATCGTAATGCAAAAATAGCATTGCTGTGTAACACAAGGGAAAATAAGGTTGTGGGCAGACATGGTAGTGAGATTGTTATGTTTAAATTTCCCTTCAAAATTGCATCAGTGATCTAGGCCCAGTGAACATAGTTCGAGAGCAGCAAGAGGAAAGAGATTAAGAAACACATTCATTGGAACAAGAACAATTTTGGTTGGAAGAAACTGCTGTGTGGCATCTTGCCCCCTTGAAGCAGATCCTATTAGATCAAGTTGGTCAGGGCCTTGATTTTCAAAATTCAGGTGGACTCAAGGATGGAGGCCTCTCTGGGCACCTGTTCCTGTGTCTGACAGTCCTCAGAGTGAAAAGGTTGTTTTCCTTGTTGCTTCTTCTCACTGTTATCACTCACTGTTGATCAATGTGTAACATGCATCTTCTCTGCCTGTGAGAGAGGAGTTTTGCTGAAGAATCTTCCAGCCCCAGATCAGGGAAGCTGCATCCTGTGGCTCCAAAGAAATAAGGTGTCACATGGATGCAGTAGACTTGTTAGTGGGGGTAAAAATACAGTCTGGTTCATTGAGGATCTATTTGCACAATGTTGTTCAACCTTTAGTTCATGGTCAGACTTGGGGAGCGTGGCTGCTGACTTGTCTGAATCTCAAAACCAAGGAAAGTGGTACTCCTGAAAACTTCTTAACTTCTTGTTCAGAGGTAGAACCCAATAAAGAGACACTGTTCTCACTGCTGGTTTGTATACATTCTGGAATTTCTTTGAGCCAGTTTGGAGCTCACTTTGTGGCACTTCATGCTCCAGGATTTTGCACAATAATTTAATATTGTTTTCCTGGAGCCATTATATTATATAAACAGACTCTGCAAATTTTGCTTGTTTTCACAGCTGTTCCTTCCCCTCTTCCCACTTCAAATTGTTTGCAAAATCTCATTTTGAGGAAGAATAATCAGGTATCAGTTTCTGGTCTGTAAGGATCTCTGAAACATCTCTGTCCCCACTGTTAGTTTGCCTATGGCAGGGAAAGAGTTTTGTCTGGTCTCTGTCCATAACCCACTAAATCCAGGAAGGTCTGGACACTAAGAGAACACTTTGAATTTATCCTGACATAGTAGCTAAGCTCAGAGGCGCAGAGGTCACTCACTCATCTTGGATCAAAGTCCTAGAAAGGGTCATACAGCCTCCAGCTCAAAACTTCATAATGGATTTAGGAGCTGATCAGAGAAGTACACAAGTGCTTTGAGGGAAATCTTGATTAATTTAAAACTCACTCAGCTAAGCTGATGGTATCTTCCTGAGCAGCGTGAGCAGAGACCTCTTTTGATGAGATTCCTGTAAAGCAGCCTTGTGGATGTCTGAGCAAATGCTGCTTGGCACTTAGGTGTTTGACCCATGTGGTATTGAACATGATGTTTGGTGGGAGGTCACTGAATGGCCTTCTCTCCATCATATAAAACACCGACACAACTGCAAAGAGTCCCAAGAAGCACAACTGAAGTACAAAAGAAAACTTTGGAGTGATCTGTGTTTTAGTTTTTTCCCCTATTCTTTGCCAGTCGGAATGCCCTTTGAAACTCAGGCCTTTTGTAAGATTTTCTTGCATGTCTGAGCATGGCTTATTCTGTACCATGTGGTGTTTTGTCCCTGTTCATCTAGGTTCTGTGGTTGGTTATATCATTTAAAAATGTGGATTTTAGTTGCTAAGATCTCCTCTAGTGCTTTGGGTTGCATTTTTTTTTGCCCATTAAGGACAATCAGATTCCTCTTAGCAGATAGTGCTTACTTTGATTTTTAGAAATAATATTAAAACAAATTCTCAGTAACTTGTTGCATACTAAGTTTGATTACCTTTAGAAAAGAAATGTTGTGTTCCTCTGTAGGTTCCTGTGTCTCTGATCTCCATGGCAAGATTATTGACGTCTGTGGTCAAATGTCAAAACTGACATTTTGACTACCAAAAAGAATACAGAATTTCTCATGGTGATTTTTCTTCCTTGTCAGGCTTCTGACATAAAGTGTTATAGATCGACTATGAGTTATTTGCCGAGAGCTTGGAATATGCACTTTGTGCAAAAACAAGCCACCATAACTTTTTTACCTGACTTCTGCCACAGCCACAAGAGGCCAGAATCATTAGCTGTTCTTTGTTATTATGGATGACCTGGCATGTTTTGGTACTATTTCCAGTACCTTTTAGTTTTCCAGAGTCATTAATTTGGGCACTGATGCACCTCTTGATGTGCTTCTGTTGTGAAACTTCATTATTTCTTCCTGTGGGCTGAAGATTATTATGCATCCTTAGGAAGGAAAGTGTGTGGAAACTCTTGAGCATTAAATTATGTTGGATATTACTGCAATTTGCAATGCTATGCTTGTAATTCCTTCAATTTTAGCCTGTTTCTTATCTTCCAGTCAACCCCATCTGAAAGATGTGCATGTTAGTGCTGGGTGTGCACTGCACCTCTCCAGACTGAATTGGGTTGGATTTAGCCTGCTATCATAATATACAGGAAGTGTTGTCATACTTATATGCAAGATAACTTCACGCAGGGAAGCTGCAGCTCAGCCTTTGGCAGCAGAGAACTTTGTGTCTCAGCCTCTCTCATGCGTTCTCCTAAGTGTTTTCCAAAGCTCACTCTCAAGTCTCATGCAGTCACAGAATAATTAAGATTGGAAAAGACCTCTGAGGTCACCTAGTCCTACTGTCAAGTCATCCCCATCATGCCAACTAACCACGTCCCTCAGTGTCACATCTCCACATTTCTTGAACACCTCCAGGGACGGTGACTCCAACACCTCTCTGGGCAGCCTGTGCCACTGCCCCACCACTCTTTCTGAGAAGAAACTGTTCCTAACATTCAATGTGAACCTCCCCCAGTGTAACTTAAGGCCATTCCCTCACCTCCTTCAGTTTAGCTGTTGGGTTTTGTTTTGGGCTGAACTTGAGACAGTCCAAATAGGATTGATCTGTGGGCCACTTGTCTGGACGATCCTTCTGCCTTATCCACTGGATAAGAGATAAGGAAGTACTGGTTGGAAAGCAATTGGAGTAGAGTGCTACATTCTGCTGCACTTCCTGGCTTTCTGAGCTGGCTGAGTGACAGAAATCTTTGAATCATAATGTTACAGTATCTTGAAGATTCATGATGGAATTTTGCAAGTGATAAACTGTTTTGTTTGCTTTTTTAAAATTCAAGATAACAAACTCTCCAAATGCTCTGCTGAAAGAAGAGCATTAAATTTGCAAGTTCACATGTTTGCTTTAGGGAATGTTGCATCAACTTTGCTCTTTTCAGTGCGTGCTTCAGGGTATTTTTGTCACTGTTCACTTGATACAAAAACTCCTGTTCCATCACATTTGCCTGTCCTTATACTTTCTGTTCCCCACTCTGTGGAAAACCAAATAG